TCTAAAAATTACTTAAGAATAAACTGCAATATGTTTTGTATGTATGTGTGTATATTTTTCTCTTTATATATATATATATATATATATATATATATATATATACATACAGATGTAGAAGTATTTCAGCCACTTTGTATACATACAGACAACACTGTTATTTGCATTGCACATTGGTATGGCTGTGCCCATTGTTTTAGATGTTATATAAGTATATATGTTATCAATTATATATTTTATATACTTATGTATTTGCTGTATATTTTATATATAATATCAATTATATTAGACATTTAAATTAGAAGTAATTTAAAAGAGGAGGAGATAACATTGATTTATAAATTAGAAATGACTTTGCTTGGTTATTTACTTTGACCGGTTCCTCATTAAATAGTGATCTTTATTAATACCTTTTTTCACCCCTCTTTAAGCATTTTTTTTTTTTAAGAAAAGGTTTTTCTCATAGCATGTAGTTGTGATTTGGGCAAGCTGAATTATATTATTCAATATCTATGTCTTTTCTCTTGGCCATGTACACATTCACTCATGAAACCCAGAGTTATTATACATATATAACATTTTCCAGAGTATGCTAACACTTCTAACCAGCTGAAAACACCCACTGTTTTTATGTAAAATAGTTGGGGCACCTGAGGAGCATCTTATCTCAGTAATTTTCCAATCCATATTTGCCAAGAAGCATTTCAAAATATATTTCCCAAATGAATGATTACACACACACACACACACACACACACACACACACACACACACGGTTTAGGTTGTCACTGTTTCACCAAATTGTTTCTTATAGTGTATATTTCGATTCTAAGTGACGTTTTCTAAGTAAAATTTGACTTCATACAGTTCACTAAGTCAAATTAGGTATTGCACAGGTAGATATTTCTTTTTTTCACTTTTTTATTTAATAATGTATTTGAGGGCCAGCCAAGTGGCTCAGTTGGTTAAGAGTTGGCTTAAGAGCGTGAGCTCTGAGCAACAGGGCTGCCGATTTGATTCC